ATCTTGCACTTTCAGTAGGAGTAAAGATTAAAGCAAAAGTATAAACATAAATCAGATCTGTATTATGAGCAGTTTAGGGAGAACACAACAAAAAGGAAATACCGAGGCTAGTATTTCTCGAAAGAGAAGTTTCAGGTAAGTGTTCATCAATGGGAAAATGCCCATCACACTTTTTATTCAGTTTGAGCCATGAATATCAGTGTTATTATCTGTGTCCACTGCTTTTTGATATACATCATGATGCTCTAGCAATTCAGAGCAGGTATTTCCTATACTAAAAGTTATTCCCAGGACCAGATGGTTGCTCTGGTGAATCCTACCAAATACTTGAAGAATAGTCAACACCAATCCTTCTTTTTTTAAAAAAAAATATATTTTATTGATTTTTTACAGAGAGGATGGGAGAGGGATAGAGAGTTAGAAACATCGATGACAGAGAAACATCGATCAGCTGCCTGCTGCACACCCCCTACTGGGGATGTGCCCGCAACCAAGGTTCATGCCCTTGACCGGAATCGAACCTGGGACCTTTCAGTCTGCAGGCCAATGCTCTATCCACTGAGCCAAACCGGTTAGGGCAACACCAAAACAGAAAAGACTAAACCAAAAAATTGTTGAAACTAATCAATGAATTCAATAAAGTTGTGGATATAAAATCAACAAACAGAAATCAATGTGTTTCTATATACTAATAATGAAACAGCTGAAAAAGAAGTAAAGAAAACTTCTCATTTACAATAGTATCAAAACAATAAAACAGGAAGTGAAAGATATGTACAATGAAAACTACAAAACTTTAATGAAAGGAACTAAAGAAAACACAAACAAATAGAAATATATCCTGTGTTCCTGGATCAAAGATTAATTTGTTAAAATGTCCATTCTACCCAAAGCCATCTACAAAATCAATACAATCCCTATAAAATTCCAATGGCAGTTTTCACAGAAATAGAAAAAAAATCCTAAAATTTGTATGGTACCACAAAAGACCCTAGATAACCAAAGCAATCATGAGAAAAAAGAACAATGCCAGAAGTCTCACATCATATTCCTGATATCAAACTATACTACAACGCTATAGTAATTGAAACAGTATAGTACTGACATAAAAGTAAACACATAGACTACTGGAACAAAATAGAAAGCCAGGAAATAAACTTCTGCGTTTGTAGTTAATTAATTGACAAATGAGTCAAGAACATTCAATGAGGAAAGAACAGTCTCTTCAACAAATGATGCTGAGAAAACTGAGTAACTACCAGCAGAAAAATAAAACTGGACCTCTTAACCACTCACAAAAATAAACTTGAAATGGATTTAAAAGATTTACACAAAAGACCTGATACTTTGAAACTCCTAGAAGAAAACCTAGTAAAGAAGTTCCTTGACTAGGCAATGGTTTTTTTGTTTATGACACCAAAAGCAAAAGCAACAAAAGTACAAATCCACAAATGGGACTACATCAAACTAAAAAAAGCTTCATCACAGCAAAAGAATCCAAAAAATGAAAAGACAACCTACCAAATGGGAGAAAATATTTGCAAACCATATATCAGATAAGAGGTTGATGTCCAAAATACATACAAAATTCAAACAGCCCTGGCCAGAGTAGCTAAGTGGTGAGAGTGCTGACCCTCGCACACAAGGCTCACAAGTTCAATTCCCTTCAAGGGCATGGCAGGTACCAGGGTTGCAGGTTCAATTCCCACCCCGTCAGGGAGTGCGAGGCAGGCAACCAATCTGTGTCTCTCTCATATAGATGCTTTTTCTCCCTCTCCTCCTCTCTCTCCCTCCCTCCCTCCCTTTTACTCCAAAAATCAATGGAAAATATATTCTTGGGTGAGGATTAACACAAACTAAAATAAATAAAAATTCATACAACTCATTTTTTAAAAAAGAAAAATGATCTGTCTAAAAAATAGGCAGAGGAACTAAAAACAGATTTTTCCAAAGAAGAGATACATGAAAAGATATTCAATATCACTAGTCATTGGGGACATGTAAATTAAAACCACAATGAGATATCACCTCACACTTGTTACAAGGGCTATCATCAAGAACAGGAGATAAGTGTTGGCAAGGATGTGGAAAAAAGGGAACCCTAGTGCACTGTTGGTGGGAATGCAAACTAGTTCTACTACTATGGAAAACAGAGTGGAAATTCCTCAAAAAAATTAAAAATAGAACTACCATATGGTCCAGAAATTCTGCTCTTGGGTCTATATCCGAAGAAAATGAAAACAAGATATTGAAGAGCTCATGTTTACTGCAACATAATTCACAATAGCCAAGATTTGGAAACAACCTAAGCATCCATGAGCAGATGAATGAATAAAGAAGATGCGGTACATACATACAATGGAATATTACTCAGCCATGAGAAAGAAGAAAATCCTGCCATCTGCAGCACTATGGATAAACCTTGAGGGCATTATGCTAAGTGAGATCAGTGAGAGAAAGACAAATTCTGTATGATGTCACTTATATGTGGAATCTAAAAAAGCCAAACTCTTTTATATGATAATGTGATTTTTGTCTTTCAATTTGCTTGCAATGTATTAACTGATTTATTGATTTCTGAATATTGTACCAGCCTTGCATCCCTGGAATAAATCCCACTTGGTCATGGTGTATGATCTTTTTAATATATTGCTGGATCAGATTTGCTAATGTTTTGTTGAGGGTTTTAGCATCTATGTTAATCAGGGATATTGGCCTGTAATTCTCTTTCTTTGTAGCATCTTTAACAAAAGGAAGACAATTCAAACAAAAAATGGGCAAAGGACCTAAATAGACACTTCTCCAAAGTGGACATACAGATGGCCAAGAGACACATGAAAAAATGCTCAAAGTCACTGATCATCTGAGAGATGCAAATTAAAACAACAATGAGGCATCACCTCACACCTGTCAGAATGGTTACCATCAACAAATCAACAAATGACAAGTGCTGGTGAGGATGTGGAGAAATGGGAACCCTAGGTCACTGCTGGTGGGAATGCAGACTGGGTGAAGCCATTATGAAAAGCAGTATGGATTTTCCTCAAAAAATTAAATATGGAACAGCCATTTGACTCAGTGATTCCACTTCTAGGAATATATCCTAAGGTCCTGAAACACCAATTAGAAAGAATATATGCACCCCTGTGTTCATAGCAGCACTATTTACAACAGCTAAGATCTGGAAACAGCCCAAGTGCCCATCAGCAGATGAGTGGATAAAAAAGCTGTGGTACATCTACACAATGGAATACTATGCAGCAGTAAAAAAAAAAAAAAAAAAAAGGATCTCTTACCCTTTGAGACAGCATGACCTGGAAGAGTATTATGCTAAGTGAAATATGCTAGTCAGAGAAAGACAAATATCACATGATCTCACTCATTTGTGGAATCTAATGAACAAAATAAACAAACAAACAAAATAGATCCAGAGACATAGAAGAATGGAACAGATTGACGAATCTCAGAAGGAAGGTGGGGGGTGGGGGGGAGTGGAGGTAGGGAGAGATTAACCAAAGAACCTATATGCATATACGCATAACCCATGAGGGGTAATGGTTACCTTAATTCAAAACACCTGAAGGTAGTTACATCTGAGGAAAGCACTATATTGTTGTAGACCTTAGAACAGGATCATCATCTAGTGTTTTTATAGTGGAAATCATAAATCTACCCATAACTCAGTGGGTAAAAACCTGAAGGAATAAATTAACCACTTTTCACAGTTTTTTAAATGCTTTTAGGAAACTTCAGCAAGTTAAACACAGGATCACAGCTACTGACCAAAGGGAAACTTACTTACAACACTCTGGCCACAATACCACTTCACAATCTAGGGAAATGAAAGCCAGAAAGACCTAAACTCAGGTCCTAATCTAGCCTAACTTACTGGTCAGGGTCTCCCAGGCCTCACTTTCTCATTTGTGGAATTAATGGAGTTATTCATTCAATGTTGGTTGAATGCCTATGTACCAAACCCTGTGTTGACAATGGAAGTCTGTTATTTTTGTTTTGAGTAAATAAAAAGCATAGTCCTGACTTTGCAAAGCTCCTAATCTTGTGAATATAACAAAAAATGCAACCTAACTCTATGACAAGCCATCATGCCTGGGCAAATTAAAAAAGGCTACAGAGAGGAGGAAATACAGTTCAGCTGAGACTTAATGAATCCAAGTTGCTTAGATGGGGCTATGGGTATTCATTAAAGAACTGTTCAAAGACAAGATGACAGGAAAGAATGAGAAGAGGAAGGTTTATGTAGATGATGCACAGACTGGGCATCAGGGAGATAAACTTAAGAGCTTTATATGCCACACTAGGGAATCTGACCTTTAACCTTTAAGAAACAGTAAACACTAAGATTCTAGAAATTGGCTGTAAGCCCAACCAGATAAATCCAATTTGTCTATCATTTCATCTAAAATTAAGAGTCTTTCAAAGCAAAAATGTTTTGCCCTGACCAGTTTGGTTTAGTGGCTGGAGCATCGGCCTGTGGACTGAAGAGTCCCGGGTTCGATTCCGGTCAGGGGCATGTACGTACCTTGGTTGCGGGCACATCCAAAGTAGGGAGTGTGCAGGAGGCAGCTGATGGATGTTTCTCTCTCATGGATGTTTCTAACTCTCTATCCCTCTCCCTTCCTCTCTGTAAAAAATCAATAAAATATATTTCTAAAAAAATGTTTTAAAGGAAAAAAGCCATCCAAGTTTTGATGCTGATATTATGAAATCTAAAAGATTTCATTTAACTGAAAAATTTTAGGACTAGATTTCTATTGTTATAAGTACAGTAGCAAAAACATTCTAAAAGCAAGATATATGACTTCTGTTCTTTATCAAATACAAACTCTGTAAACCCATAGGTGTAAAAAGTATACACAGGTATTATATTTACATGCCCCCCAAGAGACTTTTCATCCTTTGTTCAAATAAAGCTTCACTCTCTTCACTCTGAATATTAATTAGCTACAAAAGTACCTAAAGAGAACATGAAGTCCGTTTACCTGTGTTCTGCAGGTACAGGGGGCGGCCAAACAGCAGGATCTCTAAATGGTTCATCTTGACAGGACACAGGGAAATCTGGGGGCTTGTCAATTTTAAAACTTTCCAAAGTGTTGACAATACTTTTAACTTGTTCATATTCTTCTAATAATTCCTGCCGAACCTTAAATAAATAAATAAATAAATACATGCATATATACATACATACATATATATAGCCTTTATGCCAGAAATTGTTTCAAGTTTATATAAATTGCTATAGAATGCAAGTTTCCTTAATGTTTTTCAAAGTATGCAACATGAGTCATTAAAAAAAACATATTCAAAAACTAAGAACTATTTAAAGTGATATAGATAGAAGGGCAGGAATCAGTTTGAAAAAAGATATAATTAAATACCTTTTCACAGGGGAACTAGTAATATACCTTCATAATGTAACTTTATTTCTACCAAGGAATGTAATGACCATGAACATAATTTAAAACAAGCAACTAATTCAGTAACAAGCTAGCCAGTCCCAGAGAGCTATAATATTAATGCTAAATCATTTTAATATACTTAGAAATAAATTCCAAAAAAGTTTTTAAATTTTTTATTTATTAATCTTAGAGAAAGGGAGAGAGAATCATCAATTTGTTATTCCACTTATTTATGCATTCATTAGTTAATTCTTGTAGGTGCCCTGACTAGGGATAAAACCCGCAGCCTTGCATATTGGGACGATGCTCTAACCAACTGAGCTACCCGACCAGAGCTAGCTTCCAAAAACTTACCAGCCAAATTTTTGACCAGCATTTGCTGTCCCCAATCTCACTAAATATGAAATGCCTGCTTGTCATGGGCATATGAAAGCCTGAAGTGGTCAAATACTCTATGAATAACACACTTCTAATTTTTATTTAAATTCTCCTTCATCTAAAATCTGAATTCTTTGGGACTTGTTAAATTCTTTCAAGTCCTGGGCAAAGTTTATTTTGGGCTCAAAGGCCAGATTTTTCCTGTATTTCAAAAATCTCATTGAGCACCTAGTATATGGAAATTCTTGTGTTTTGAAACTCTGAGCCAAAACTAATTTTCAAAGGCAAATAGATAATTGATTGAAAATTACATTTATAAATTCAGTTTAACAATTCTAATTTTTTTAATCAGAACGCACACTTTACTGTAAAGCAGAGCATAAGAAATGTGCCTTGAACTTTACCTTGAATAATAGGTTATATTGTTCAAGAAGAGAGAGAGGAAGGAAGAGAGAATCATCACTTTATATTAAATCATCAATTTAATAGATATAGAAAGGAACATATTAAGGAGATGCAGAATCAAAGAAAAACCTAGGTAAAGTTCAACTGCTCATATATGCAATTACATGATATACTTGGAGCAATGAAATTTCAGAACCTAATGGAAAGAAACAATAGAAATATCTGAATAAAAATGGCAACTATTTAATACAATTAATAACGTATCAAGAATATTTCCATGCTAGATTAATAAACCACTCTTATCTGTGGCTAGTATGCAGGATAGAGGAAAACAACTAAAATTTTCAACTTGACATAGAGCAAGTATATTGTTCTCACTCAACATAATCTGGTAACACTTAAGTCAGAAAATAAGCCAAATTTACCCTACAAATTTAGTAAAACATCAATTTCTGACTAGTGGAAAAATTAGAAGAAACACTTAAAAGGCATTAGTACGTAAAATGGAAACTTCAAAGAAATACTTGACTTTGTACTTATAATTTTAAAAGGATTTTAAGTTTTAAGAATAAGTGGAAAATTATAATTCAAGGTTTTATTAACTGTACTATTATAAAATCAAGTTGTATAGTCAAGAGACAGCAAACATATTAGTGTTTTTTATTAGATTACTGACTCCTTTGTATTCGTAAGGAATCTTTCAAAAGAATAAACTTTCTTAAAGGAAAAGTTTTATGAAATGGGTCAAACTACATGTAGAATTGAAAGGGGAAAGGGCAAGTAGCAATAATTTATTTCAAAAATTTGTACTCACAATTAGGCAACTGATCATGAAATTTAAAAAAAATAGGTTCAATTAGGATTAAGCATCTTTGAAGTATATCTCATGAAATAATAAAAAATATGTAAAATATTATCTGGGCAAGAGAGAAAACTATTCAGAGTGCATTTTAAATATACCTCAGTATTCAGACAAGTAAGAACTATTTACATCTCAAGTTCTAATCCTATATAATAAAAGACTAATATGTTAAGTGCCTGATTGTCTGGTTGGCTATTCAACCAATCAAAGCGCAATATGCTAATGATATGCTAAGGCTACTCAACCCCTCGCTATGACGTGCACTGACCACCAGGGGGCAGACGCTCTAACCGGTAGGTTAGCTTGCTGCTGGGGTCCAGCTGATCGGGATTGAGTGAGACAGGCCAGACACGCCCTGGAGCCCTCCCACGGACCCCCCCACCACGCACCCCCCCCACCCCCCCACCCCCCCCCGCCAACCTCCACATCTCTCCCGCCCAATCGTGCACCAGTGGGGTCCCTCAGCCTGGCCTACACCCTCTTGCAATCCGGGACACCTCGGGGAATGTTGGAGAGCCGGTTTCAGCCTGACAGCAGAACAACCAGTTGCTATGATGCACACTGACTACCAGGGAGCAGACACTCAATGCTGGAGCCGCCCCCTGGTAGTCAATGTGCTCTCACAGCGGGGAGCACCGCTCAGCCAGAAGCTGGGCTCACAGCTTAAGCTGTCAGTCAGACATCCCCCATTGGCTCCAGGACTGCGAGAGGGCGCAGCCGGGCTGAGGGACCCCTCCCCTAAGTGCATGAATGTCCTGCACCAGGCCTCTAGTCTTTCAAGAACAATAGACTGCTGCCCTGACTCGCTGAATAATGTGACCTTACCTGTTGCCATTTGCCTCTGATAGCTGGGTCTCTAACTGACTGGCAATGTCTCTGAATCTGCTGGATCACCCCTTGGTAATATACCATTGATGAGTCATAATTTCCAAGAAGTGCATATTCTCTTCCTTTCTTTGCATTGTCACAAATCTCAGCCAAGTTCATCTTCTTTCAGAGACCTAAACATTAAATATAATGACTTTTTATTAAGTTTTCAGTACTGACTTCAAAATATTTTTTATTATTCTTTAAAATATCAGCTTAAAACTACATGAAAAGTCAAAATGGTTTTTTCTTTGTTTGAGGTTATCTGAATGCATCTTATAATATTGAACAAAATTTCTAATTTTGGCAGCACAAAAGAGTTCAGAAAAGAACACCCAAGACAATAACGAGAAATTACACAGCTCTGAACTACTGATTCATGTTACAGGTACTGGTTTTCCTTGCTCATTTGTAATGACAACAAACTGCAATAATAGTAAAGATGGTATTGCTTAATTTCTTTCAATCTATTCTTGAAAATGTAGAAATTTATGAATATCACATATTTTCCAATTATGTCAATTAAAACCACAGAAATTCTCACTAAAACTTTTTGGCCTAAAAACAAAATGTCATACTGAAGGAACACATTTTAACAGAACAGCCTATAGTTGTCCACACATCATTTATGTGCATTTAATGTGCCATACAACTTAAACCTAAGCAAAATCCTATGAATTAAACTACCTGAGCTCTTTTTGTTCAACTGTAATCACCCATGATCCTGCCATTCTCTACCGCTTTTTCTTTTTTGTCTGTGCAAATAACTATCACTAATCTTTTCCATTCTACAAGATGCTAGAAGACCATCATCTGAAACTCTGGTTTCCACCAAGCTTCCCAGCCCATCATTCCAGCTTTTCTTCCAGGCTTCCCAAACATCTCCCAGAATCATTCCAGACTTCCATGCAGATACTTTCCACTCAAGACTACAAAGAGTAGGAACTACAGAGATACAGAAGAATGACATCCCAGGAAGAAGTCCAAATTGCCCTATTCTTATTTCCTGGAACAGTAGACCAATGAATAACCTTAGAAGAGAAAATCATAGTATTTTTCCATGCCTTCCTGAGGGAATTAGAGTTTGGTGTGGGTAGTTTGGCTCTTCCTCTCTGTCTCTTATCTATTCTTAAAGGGCTCTAACACTCTGCCTCAAAATTAACCACATCTAGTTCTAGGCTCTTTAAGTGACTACAGTACTTTCTTGAAAATAAAGCTGTTTTCTTTATGTGTTTTGGCATGTTATATTTGCCCCTTCGCCAAGCATAGGTTCACTGAAGGCATCATCTATGTTACTTGAGAATTACACTGTAGCTAATTGTATACTATTTTTACACAATAAGAAATTCCAATATTCTGTAGATCAATAATATAGAACCGTAGAAAGCCTCTTCTCAAATTAAATATTATCACAAAGCAGGAAGGTCTTTTTACAGTAAACAACCTGCAATTAATAAATACAATAGAAACAAAACCGTTCTACATATTTTCTTTTAAATTCACTGTGAGACTAAGCATTAATTCTGCTATTATGTGCAGGTACACAACTGTGCAGAATAAAAATGCCTTGATGTAAAGCAGCAGTCAGCAAACTTTGTAAAGGATCAAAGAGCAAATATTTTAGGTTTTAAAGACTAATGGGCAATATTGAGGACATTATTTAAGTAGTGACACAATGAGACAAAATTTCCACAATTTTTATTGATGAAATTCAAAATATTATACTGATAATAGTTGAGCACAACTTTTTGTAATACAGGTCTTCTAATAAAAATTAAACTCTTTGGGGGAAGATGAATATTTCACTTAGTTGGGATTCAAAGTTACTGTTCCCTAACATCAAAATCAACTTGGGTTACCTCTGCAGCCCTGGGCAGTATGGCTCAGTTGTTTGCAGTGTAGTCTGTACACCAAAAGGCTGTGGATTCAATTCCCAGTCGGGGGTACATACCTAGGTTTTGGGTTTGATCCCCAGTCAGGGTACATATGGGAGACAACTAATCCATGTTTCCCTTTTTCTCTTACTCTCTAAAATCAGTAAACATATTCTCAGATGAGGATGTTTAAAAAAAATCAAATGCAAATGTTCATACATTAATGATGATTTTAATGAAATTTTATGTATTTCATGTTAGAAGATGTCTTTTCACCCAGATAGATACTGTCACATATTGATATCAAATCATAAGCATACATTTCATTCAACATAATCATTATTTGGAAGGCATTTAAAGAATCTATTCTTTTGATATTGTCTTTTGCATGTCATTACACTGCAGATTAACCTCTTTCAACCGAGTCAGGAGGAAATGTCTCACCTGCACAGTAAAATGTAATTTGTAATATGAAAATATTCTTTGCACTTGCATTAAAGTCTGAAAAATGATGCTAAGTCTGTAATTTGAGCACAGAAAATACATGTACTGCAAATCCAGTGGGGGGGGGGGGGGTAATGAAGATCTCACTTGTTTGTTTTAACTTTTGACTGCATGGAAAGCTACATAAAACAGTTTCGTATCACTTCAGTCAAACAACATTAGTTGGCATTGAAATGGCCAGGCTAAGGGACACCCCTCCCGCCATGAACACACGGATTTCATGCACCAGGCCTCTAGTGAGAATATAACAGAAATCTTTGTCACAACTACTGAATTCTGTCATTCTAGCACAAAAGTACCTATGGAGAATATGTAAACAAATGAATGTGGTTGTGTTGCGATAAAACTTTATTTATGGACAATGATTACTGAATTTCACTTAATTTTTACATATCACAAAACAGTATTCTTCTTTTGACTTTTTTAACCATTAAAAAAATACAAAAACCATTCTTAGTTCATGGGTAATTCAAAAACAAGTGGCAGGCTGGATTTGGCCCCAAATTGTAGTTTGCCAACTCCTGCTTTCAGCTTCTCATAAGAATCTAGGAAAACAAAAGTAAATTAAAACCCAAAAGGAGTAGACGAAAGAACATAATTAAGAGCAGAAATCAATAAAACAGAAACAAACAACAGAAAATTTCAACACAGCCAAAAGCTGGTTCTTTGGAAAAATCATTAAAATTGATAAAGCTCTAGTGACATTGACCAGGAAAGGGAGAAAGAAAACAAAAGTTACCTAAATCAGAATAAAGGAGGGGCTACTACTACAAACTTCAGCAGTATTAAAAGGCAAAAGAGGACTTAATGAAATTAACAAATTCTATGAAGGTCACAACATACCAAACTTACTCAAGAAAAAATACAGTAATTAATCAGAATACTAGTAGTCCTATAGCAATCAATTAAATTCAATTTGTAATATAAGATCTATCTGAAAAAAAAAACACAAAACAACTCCAGACCTAAATGCTTCATTAGTGAATTCTCCCAAGCATTTAAGGGAAAAATAAAACCAATTCTACACAAACTCTCTCAAAAAAGAAGTGGAAAAACATACAACTCATACTTTAAAACCAACCTTACCTTGATACAAAACCAGACATTATAAGAAATTGATATACCAATATCCTTCGGAAACATAGATACAAAAATCTTTAAATTTTAGCTAATCAAACCCAGTAATATAAATAAAAGATAATGCATTATGCCTGACTGGAGTTTATACCAAAAATGTAAGGTGTTTTATATTTAAAACCAATCATATAATTTTTTTAAATTTTTAATTACAGTTTACATTCACTATTACTTTGTATTTATTTCAGGAATAGAGCATAGTGATGAGACAATCATATACTTTATAAAGTGGTATTTCTGGTACCCACCTGGCACCACAGATAGTTATTACAATATTATTGACTATATTCCCTATGCTGTACTTTACATCCCCATGATTATTTTGTAACTACCAATTTATACTTCTCAATCCCTTCACCTTTTTCACCCTGTCCCCACAACAATCCCCCAACAGCAACCATCAGTCGGTTCTCTGTATCCATGAGTCTATTTATTGTTTGTTCACTTATGTTGTTCTTTAGATTCCACATATAAGTGAAATCATAGGGTATTTGTCTTTCTCTAACTGATCCATTCCACCCAGCACAATACACTCCCAGTCCATCCAAGCTATCGCAAGTGGTAAGATTTCATTCCTTTTTATAGCCAAGTAATATTCATTGTATATATGCACCACCACTTTTTTAGCCCTTTGTCTGTGGGCACTTGGGTTACCTCTATATCTGGGCCACTGTAAACAACACTGCAAGGAACACAGGGGTGCACATATTCCTCCGAATTAGTGTTTTTGTTTCCTCGATACATACCCAGAAGTGGAATTGCTGGGTCACAAGGCAGGTTCCCTTTTTAATTTTTTGAGGACCCTCCATACTGTTTCCCATAGTGATTGCACCAATCTACATTCCCACCAACAGTTCATGAGGGTTCCCTGCTCTCCACATCCTCACCAACACTTGTTTGTTGATTTACTGATAGCCATTCTGACAGGTGTGAGATGGTATCTCACTGCAGTCTCAATTCGAAATTCTCTGATGATAAGTCACATTGAGAATCCCCTCATGTCTACTGGCTATCTGTCCTTTTTGGAGAAGAGTCTATTCAGGTTCTTTGCCTGAAGAGACTCTTTTTTTTTGGGGGGGGGGGGGGGAGAAGGTTGAGCTGTATGAGTTCTTTTCAAATTTTGGATATTAGCCCTTTATTGGATGTATCATTGGAAAGGATCTTCTCCCATTCAGTAAGTTGTCTTTTCATTTTGTTGATGGTTTCCTTTCAAACTTTCACTAGAGCTACCATATATAACTATGGTTATCCAGGAAAGTATTTAAAATAATGCTGAGTCCCTTCCTCTCTGAAATCAATAAAAATATTTTTTTAAAGAAATAGGTGAGGGAGGTGATTTTGTGTATGGTTGATGAGAACATTAAATGGTGACAAATTGTGGAGGACCTTGATTATTAGACTAAGGAAGTATGTTTACTAAGTGGGAAATGGAGACAGACCTTTAGAGAGTTAAGTAAGAGAATGATGTAGTAAAAGTAATATTTAAAAAAATTAATCTGACATTCTATAACGGTAATCAAGAGTAGGAGAGATTTAATGAAGAAACCTATTTTGAGGGTAACTGTGGGGAGCTGATATAGGGGTAAGCCTCAGACTGACCTGTGGGCAAAGTCACAAAC